TTTTGAAAACCGTAATCATCTGCAAACTCCAGCTCGACTACAATTGCCTTCGCTATACGAGGGAACAATTTTGTTTTAGGCTTCGGAGCGCGAACAAATAGTGACAACTACAAGTAACTGAACACGAGAAACTACATCAGTCCTTGTGCAAAAGGGCTTCATTATTCCTCCTTCTAAAACTTGTTCTTTGGCTTCTGAAAGGCGAGGAAATCTAATTAAATATGGTTAACAATGAATACGGTAGCCTGAACGGATGGTAAACGAGTCGGTTTGAATTCAGAAACGAGAGATCTCTTTGCTACACTCGACAGAATTGTTTCCAACGTCTTAGTGTAAGCCAAAACGAGGCAATTACTCGATAATGTGTATTTTGCTACTGGCATGAAGAGATTAAACAATTTTGGTTCCAAATACATTAAGAAATGGTTTGTTATGCTTAGCACCCTTTCTAGAGGGTTAAATCTATCGCCTATTGCGCGAATAACCGAACTAGAATAGAAAACAGTATAAAAACAATAATCACTTTCGAAAGAGTATCGAAAATTTACCTTTTAAATCACTGATCATTCGCGCCAACCTGAAAAACAAGTGAAAGGAAGATTTAGTAAGTGTTGAGCGATGGATGAAGGAAGATTTCCGCCATGTTGTAATGGTTTACTTCGAGCAGTTATTCTTCGCAACATCGCGAGAAAGCGTTGCGGCTGAGGACCGCGTGTACTCTGTTAAGAGCTGTGTTAGATCTTTTGACTTGTTTTTCGCTTCTATAATTTGCGTCGCGGACAACTTTTGCAGTTGTGCTGGATCTTCCGGGCATTTTAGAGAGCTGATTCGCCAGTAGCTCGTCAAATATTCCTCTCGACCCCAAGAAAGTTTGATCACCATAATATAAGCTAAATGTTTCATCATTTTTGTCATTTGCTTTAAGAGGAATGCACAACAAAGGTAAAAATAATTGAGTAAGAATATCAATGACTCGTGGCGCGAAATGTTGCAACAATTTATACTGAGTGGACAAAGACGAAATTTGTTGCAGACCTGTTCTAATCCCTAACTGAGTCGATTTCAGGCGTTCTTCGGCTTTGGTTTCGGTGGCTTTGGTTTCTCTGGCTTTGGATCTGGAGGGGGATTCGGCGTTGGTTTTGGTGGCATAATTTTCAGTGGCTGAATTGTACGAACAAGTTGACTCACAGAGACCAGCAGAGGTAGACGCTCAACTATTTATAGCAGTGCTATTTATAGCGAGACGCACCGAAACCGAAGAATCACATGTACGATCTTGATAGCTGTTAAGTTTGAGCGCAAAAAACTGCTTATCAAGCGTGCTTACGAAGAATTTTGGAAGACAGTTTCTTTTTCGAATCATATTTGACTTGTTTCGAGTATAATATTTCAACAAGGTCGAAAGACAGATTTTTGCGCTAAGTAGAGATGTCTGTGAATTATCCTATTTCTCCCCACCTCGCCGATTACGCTCAATCGATCAACCAAGCAAAATTTGGTTTTACCGCAAAAAAAAAACCGGGCTGTCCATGTCATTTTCTCATCATTCATCTTCCTCAAAGGTGGGTTGTTCGGTTGCGTCAGTTAGTTGCGATGAAAAACAATGAACGCGCCTCGGGTCAAAATTTGTTTCATTCATATCTGCACTCAGACATATCGAAATTCTTTTAAACTTTGCGCCTCGTATGAGAAACTATCGACGAAGTGAATGATCGAAATTAACTCTCATTGCGTATAGTTAAGTGCAAACAAAGCAGCTCTTCGAGGTGTTCTTGTTTTGAAATATCTTAAATCTCCATTTGCGCAAAAAACGTAATCATCTTTAAATGCGCGTGAAAATTGTTTTGAGTTTCTTCATTCCTATACAAAAGAAATTCAAACGAATTCGCTGGCCCTGCAGCAGTTTAACGCTAGATAGCTTCAATACCTGGACTCCATTGCGCGATAAAATCTCGCCAATATTTATGAACTAACCTATTTTGGAATCATCACCACTGGGCTGACTTCCCATGTGAAGTATTTTGCATATTTCGCTCAGTTTCATTTCCAATTTTTCGGGCGCCAACGGGTCTATTTACCGATGCCTTTAAAACGTCGATGGAAGTAGTGCTTCTCTTGATTAGTGCCACAATATTCCTTTCAATATATCTGGTAAATAACCCATTTTGAGACATCCTGTCGTGCCTTCTCGAATTTCTGTGCTATCGATTTTGTTTGACCTCGGTAGGGATAGGTTTGAATTCAGGAACGAGAGATAACTTTGCTACACTCGCTAGAACTATTTCCAACGTCTTAGTGTACGCCAAAACGAAGAAATTACGCAATAGTGTTTATTTTGTTACAGTGATGAAGAGATTAAATAGTTCCGGATATTAAGAAATGGTATGTTATGATAAGCACTCTTTCCAGAGGGTTGAATCTTTCGCTTATGGCGCGGATAACCGAATTAGAATAGAAAACAGTATGAAAACAACAATGACTTTCGAAAGAGGATCGAAAATTTACCTTTTAAATCACTGGTCATTCGCGCCAACCTGAAAAACAACTGAAAGGAAGATTTAGTACGCGTTGTTGCCGCGTCGCCATGTTGTAATGGCTTACTTCGAGCAATTGTCCTTTGCAACATCGCGAGAAAGCGTTGCGGCTGAAGACCGCGTGTACCTCTGTTAAGAGCTGTGGTAGATCTTTGGACTTGTTTTTTTTGCGTCCTTAACTTGTGGCGGATAATATTTGCGGTTGCGTTGGATCTTCCGGGCATTTTAGAGAGATGGTTCGCCATTAGCTCGTGCACTCTCCTCTCGACAGCAAGAACGGTCGATCACAATAATACATGAGCTTCATTGTTCATCATTTTTGTCATTTGTTTTAAGAGGAAAGCACAACAAAGTTAAAAATAAGTGAGTAAGAATATCAGTGACTCGTGGCGCGAAATGTTGCAACAAATTATACTGAGTGGATGAAGCTGAAATTTGTTGCCGACCTTTTCAAATCCTTAACAGAGTCGATTTCAGCCCTTCTTTGGCTTTGATGGCTTTGGTCTCGGCCACGGATCTGGAGGGGTATTCGGCGTTGGTTTTGGTGGCATAATTTTCAGTGGCTGTAGTGTACTAACAAGTTGACACACAGCGACCAGCAAAGGTAGATCTCAACTTTATTATGGCTGAAGCCAGATCAGTGCTTTTAATAGTGAGACGCGATGAAAGTAACCTTACCGCGTGGCGACAAAGTTGCGTCTGCGTACTTCGTATACTAATTTATTATAGGTCCTTTTTTGCTGTTATGCATATGAGTCTGTTAAACTGGAATAAAAAAATTACTGCCTTTTCTCCATTTGTAAGGGAAAGTCCGCTGGAGTCGATATCTATCAACTTGGCCTTCAGCTAAATTGCATCTCATGGCTACCTATCCATGACGCAAATGTGTTCCCACGCTCTTACACTTTAATTGCTTTATTTTCAATGGTTCTTTGCGCAAATTCGGTTTTCTTGATCGTCGTTTCGTTTATACAGAAATTGTGGCTTTAGATGGCTTTGGCGTGGACTGTTAGATCGAATATTGTGTTTAAATGCTTTTCTCTATTAGATTTGATACCACTATCCGCCATCTTGTACAAACAACAAACAATGTTGATCATTGAAGTAGAAAGCGCAATTCTAAAATCGAACTCAAAGATTGCGCAGTTTGGTATGAATTTAAGATGAAGGATTTTATCTAACATCCCCTTGAATTGAGAATCGAGTCCGAGAAAAGCCGAAGACCACGAGAACAAAAAGTAGACCGCGAGGTAGGAAACTTGAGTCTATTGAAAATGCTGTTGTGTTACGCCGCCATATTGAACGAACGACTCAAACCCACACAAAGCGGGACTTCAAAATTTAAATTAAGCTTACCTCGTGAGTGCCTGTTTATATGATATATGCTGCGGAAACACTGATAATAACTCAGGAACAAGAGCACAACTCAAACTACTTTTGTTGTAAAGTTTATTGACCCTATATCTGTCAGAACTTTTACATCAGTTCTTCTGCTTTCTCCTCTCCGCGAGCGGAATGATGACTGAAATGCTGGAATGCTTTGTCATCGAACGTAGTTCAAATAAACAGCGTCAGAAATCATACTTTCCAAAAGTGTCTAAGGTTGAGAAATACTCGATTGTGAAATCTCTTGGAAGTGAGAATCCTAACCAAGAACTAACCCAAATACAATCGATTTCAAGCTAAACGAGCTATGATGATAACCTTTGTGAAAACCATAATCATATCATCTGCAAACTCAAGCTCGACTACTATTGCTTCCGTCATGCTAGTGAATAATTTTGTTTTAGGCTTCGCAACGCGAACAAATAGTGACAACTGCAAGTAATTGAACACGAGAAACTGCATCAGTCCTTGTGCAAAAGGGCTTCATTACTCCTCCTTCTAAAACTTGGTCTTTGGCATCTGAAAGACAAGGTAACCTAATGAAGTATAGTTAACAGTGATCACAGAAGTCTGTACGAATGGCGGACTAGTCAGTTTGAATTCAGAAACGAGAGATCTCTTTGCTACACTCGCCAGAATTATTTCCAACGTCTTAGTGTAGGCCAAAACGCAGCAATTACGCGATAATGTGTATTTTGTTACTGTGCATGAAGAGATTAAACAATTCTGGATATTAAGAAATGGTAAGTTATAGAGGGTTGAATCTTTCGCTTATGGCGCGAAAAACCGAATTAGAATAGAAAACAGTATAAAAGTAATAACCACTTTCGAAAGAGTGTAAAAAATTTACCTTTTAAATCACTGATCATTCGTGCCAACCTGAAAAACAATTGAAAGGAAGATTTAGTACGTGTTGAGCGATCGATGAAGGGAGATTTCCGCCATGTTGTAATGGTTTACTTCGAGCAGTTATTCTTCGCAACATCACAGGAAAGCGTTGCGGCTGAGAATCGCGTGTACCTCTGTTAAGAGCAGTGGTAGATCTTTTGACTTGTTTTTTTGCATCTATAACTTGCGTCGTGGACAACATTTGCGGTTGTGCTGGATCTTCCGGGCAGTTTAGAGAGCTGGTTCGCCAGTAGCTTGTCAGGTCTTCCTCTTGACAGCAAGAACGATCGATCACAATAATATATAAGCGACGTTGTTTATCATTTTGGTAATTTGTTTTAAGAGAAACGCAAAGTTAAAAATAATTGAGTAAGAATGTCATTGACTCGTGGCGCGATGAGTTGCAACAATTTACACTGAGTGTATTGAGACGAAATTTGTTGCAGACCTTTTCCAATCCTTAACAGAGTCGATTTCAGCCCTTGTTCGGCTTTGGTTTCGGCCTTGGATATGACGGATCTGGAGTGGTTGGATCTGGTTTTGGTGGCATAATTTTCAGTGACTGTAGCGTACAAACAAGTTGACTCACAGCGACCAGCAGAAAGAGACGCTCAACTTAACTCAAGCTGACGCCAGATCACTGCTTTTTATAGCGAGACGCGATGAAAGCAATCTTATTGCGTGGCGACTAAGTTGCGTCTGCGTACTTCGTGTAGTAATTTATTATAAGCCTTTTTTTGCTGTTATGCATATGAGTCTGTTAACTGGAATCACAAAATTACTGCCCTCTCTCCATTTATCAGGGAAACTATGCTGGAGTCGATGTCCATTAACTTGGCCTTCAGCTAAATGGCAACTCATGGCTAGCCATCCCTGACGCAAATGTGTTCCCTTGTTCTTACACTTGAATTGCTTTGTTTTCGATGGTTTTTTGCGAAAATTCGGTTGAGATCTGGTTGTGGCGGATCCTATTGTGGGTCTGGCTGTGGACGTGGCGGATCGGGAGGATTATGCCAGGTTCGCTGGCATAATTTTCAGTGGCTGTAGTGTACGAACAAGTTGACTCACAGCGACCAGCAGAGGTAGACGCTCAACTTTACTCAGGCTGACGCCAGATCGGTGCTTTTTATAGCGAGATGCACCGACACCACGATCTTGGCAGCTGCCAAGTTTGAATGCAGAAAACTCCTTACTAAGCATGCTTACGAAGCATTTTGAAACAATTTGGCCTTTTTCGAGTATAATATTTCAACCAGGTCGAAGGACGGTTTTTTGCGTTAAGTAGAGATGTCTGTGAATTATCCTATTTCTCCCCGCATCGTTGAATGCGCCCAATCAATCAACCACGCGAAATTGGTTTTACCGCAGAAAAAACGCGGCTGTCCTTGTCATTTTCTCATCATTCGTCTTCCTCATAGGTGGGTTGTTTGGTTGCGTCAGTTAGTTGTGATGAAAAAACAATGAACGCGCCTCGGGTCAAAATTTGTTCAATTCATACCTGCACTCGGACGAAACGAAATTCTTTTAAACTTTGCGCCTCGTATGAGAAATTGACGAAGAAGTGAATGATTGAAATAAACTTATATCGCGTATAGTAAGTGCTAACAAAGCAGTTCTTCAAGGCATTCTTGCTTTGACATTCTTTTTATTCTCTATTTGCGCTAACAAAGTAATCGTCTTACAATGCACGTGAAGATTGTTTTGAGTTTCTTTATCTGCATTCAACAGAAATTCAAACGAATTTGCCAGCCTACTGTAGTTCAACTCTAGATTGCTCAGCCTTCGATACCTAAACTTCATTTCGCGGTAAAATCTCGCGAATATTGATGAACCACCCTAATTTTGAAATCAGTACCACATGGGCCGACTTCCCGTTTGAAGTATTTCGCATATTTTGCTAAGTATCATTTCATTTCTGCTTTGTCGGGTGCCAACGGGTCTATTTACTCTGAAAGGCGAGGTAATCTAATTAAGTTTAGTTAACAATGAGTCGATGTCCAGCACCTCTGCCTTCAGCTAGATTGCTGTGATGTGTTCCCTCGCTCTTACACTTTAATTGCATTATTTTCAATGGTTCTTTGCGCAAATTCGGTTGTGTTGATCATCGTTTCGTTTATACAGAAATTGTGGCTTTAGATGACTTAAGCGTGGACTGTTAGATCGAATATTGTGTTTAAATGCTTCTCTCTATCAAATTTGATACCACTATCCGTCATCTTGTACAAACACCAAACAATGTTGATCATCGAAGTAGAAAGCGCAATTCTCAAATCGAGCTCAGAGACTACGCAGTTTGGTGTGAATTTAAGACAAAGGATTCGATCTAGCATCCCCTTGAATCGTGAATCGAGAATCGAGTCCGAGAAAAGTCGAATACCACGAGATTGCGCCTCATGGCCACCTATCCATGACGAAAATGTGTTCCCTCGCTCTTACACTTTAATTACATTATTTTCAATGGTTCTTTACGCAAATTCGGTTTTCTTAATCGTCCTTTCGTTTATACGGAAATTGTGGCTTTAGATGACTTAAGCGTGGACTGTTAGATCGAATATTGTGTTTACATGCTTTTCTCTATTAGATTTGATACCACTATCCGCCATCTTGAACAAACAACAAAGAATACTGATCATCGAAGAAGAAAGCGCAATTCTCAAATCGAGCTCAAAGATTACGCAGTTTGGTGTGAATTAAGACGAAGGATTTCATCTAGCATCCCCTTGAATCGAGAATCGAGTCCGAGAAAAGCCGAAGACGACGAGAACAAAAAGTAGACCGCGAAGTAGAAAACTTGAATCTATTGAAAATGCCACTGTTACGCCGCCATATTGAACAAACGACTGAAACCTACACTTAGCAGGACTTCAGAATTTAAGTTAAGCTTACCCCAAGAGCGCCTGTTCGCAGACTACAATAGCAACCACATGTTGAAAGTGAAGGTAAAACAAATGGTTCGTTATGTTGAAAAGCACAGAATTACAACAAGAATAAGCAGTTTAAGTGGAGACTCACAAGCGTTTCCTCCTCCCTCGCTAATGCGAAGGTAATTTGGTTCTGGCGCCAACGGGTCTGTTTACTGATGCTCTTAAAATGTCTATGGTAGTGGTATCTCTCTTGATAAATGCCGTGGACTGTATCCCTTAATATTCTTTGCAATATTCTGGTAAATAACCCATTTTGGAACATCCTGTCGTGCCCTCTCGAATTTCTGTGCCATCGATTTTGTTTGACATCGGTAGGGATACTGAGTCTCAAATGTCTGCTGTGGAAACACTGCTAATTACTCAGGAACAAGAACAAAACTCAAACTACTTTTGTTATAATGTTTATTGACTCTATCTTTGTCAGATCTTTTACATCAGTTCTTCTGCTTTCTCTTCTCCGCGAGTGAAATATTGACTTGAATGTTACAATGCTTTGTCATCGAACGTAGGTCAAATAAACAGCACTATAAATCATACGTTCCATAAGTGTCTTAGGTTGAGAAAAAATCGATCGTGAAATCTCTTAGAAGTGAGAACTCTAACTAAGAACTAACCCAAATACAAACCATGTCAAGCTAAACGAACTTTGATCATAAAATTTTTGAAAACCATAATCATCTGCAAACTACAGCTCGACTACAATTGTCTTCGTTATACGAGTGAATAATTTTGTTTGAGGCTTCGCAACGCGAACAAATAGTGACAACTGCAAGTAATTGAACACGAGAAACGCATCAGTCCTTGTGCAAAAAGGCTTCATTGTTCCTCTTTCTAAAACTTGGTGTTTGGCATCTGAAAGGCGAGGAAATCTGATTAAGTATAAATGACAATGGTAACAGAAGTCTGAACGGATGGTAAACGAGTCTGTTTGAATTCAGAAACGAGAGATCGCTTTACTACACTCGACAGAATTATTTCAACGTCTTAGTGTAAGCCAAAACGAGGCAATTACGTGATAATGTGTATTTTGCTATTGTGCATGAAGAGATTAAACAATTCTGGTTCCAAAGACATAAGAAATGGTTTTTTATGCTAAGCACTTTTTCTCCAGGGTTAAATCTATTGCCTATTGCGCGAATAACCGAACTAGAATAGAAAACAGTATTAAAATAAAAACCACTTTCGAAAGAGTATCGAAAATTTACCTTTTAAATCACTAGTCATTCGCGCCAACCTGAAAAACAATGGAAAGGAAGATTTAGTAGGTGTTGAGCGATCGATGAAGGAAGATTTCCGCCATTTTGTAATGGTTTACTTCGAGCAGCTGTTCTTCTCGCAAAATCGCAAAAAGCGTTGCGGCCGAGGACCGCGTGCACCTCTGTTTAGAGCTGTGTTAGATCTTTTG